ATTCCAGCTACTCAGAAGGCTGAGGCACGAGAATCGCTTTAACCTGGGAGGTGGAGGTTGCAATGAGCTGAGATTACGCCATTGTACTCCAGCCTGGGCGATAGAGTGAGACTCTCTCTCCAAAAAAAAGAAACCTGAGTATTAATAGAAATTTATCTGTAGTCACTGGTTTATACTAAGAGGAGTGGTGAAAAAAGAACAGGGTATTAAGATGGATACGTCCTATGTTTTCGTCGTCGTTCTTCTCTTTAATATTCCTGTAACTCAGTCATCTCAGGGCCAGCTTTTTTACCTATGCTGGGACTTCCTTGACAGTACAGCCTGTCATGGCCATGACTGACTCTTTCTTAGTGGCGTCTGCTGGCAGAAATAATTATTTTGGAAATTTTCAGCCAACTGTATAAATCCTGAACTTCACATCTTTATTATTTTGCACCAACACCAAGTATGTAAGACCCTCTACTCATCTGCCATTTCTTGTACTCTGACCTCCATACTGTTGGTTTCTCCCTATACTTACTCCTTTATCAGTAGAATCCTATATGAGGCAAATAATATAAAACCCCATTCTAACTGATTTCACCATAGAGGGGACTTACTGACTCGTGACTGGAACGGTCAGGCTTTACAATTAGTTGATCTATGGGCTCTATGGTGTCTTTAAATATTTGGTTTCCTTCCTTTATTCTGCCATTCAAAGTGTCTGTTTTATCATAAATCAGATTCTGCTCATTCTCATAGGATGGCTGCCAGCTGCAATCAAGGACACAAGTGTACTGACACTTAGTGGGAATGAGACCCCCTTCTCTCACAACATTCCAAGCAAGAGTACTGAGGGCAGGGACAGCTACCTTCAAAGAACATGAACTGTGTTGGGGGTGTATGAGTGTTGAGAGGAAGTTGTGCATATAATTAGGTAGGGGAAGAGGTTAATGGCTAGATAACCAATTTGTATGTAACCATCTACTGCACTGACTTCTCCATTATTATTTCTGGAACCCTTGTCCTATGGTAAATCAACTCCTCCACTTTTTCATACTCTTCCCTGGATCTTCGCTTCTCTTCCTGACCTTTTCTAAAATCCACTGAACCCTGACAAAAATATTTCCCATGCATCCCTCTTCCTCCCACACCCCATACCACAAAGTAAGGAGGAAAGATCAGTATCTTTTCCCCCAGAGGCCCCCCTGCAACCACTGTGATGTCCAGCACTTCTTCATTGTGCAAAAACACCTTTGAAGCTCATGATCTGGTTTTCCCATTTTATATCCTGCTCATGTTGTCTCCCCCAGTCAGCTGGGAGTTCCTTCTTCAGGTACTCGGGTTCCTGGTTCAGTCTTCCTTTCTCCTCCCAGGATCCACCATCAGTCTGCTAACTCCAGTGTTCACATAGGCAATTTATCCAAACTAGACTCTTGTTTCTTTACACTCTTGCAGAGAAACTGCTTAATCCTTGAGGTCTTAAATTCAGATATCTCACATTTTTACTATAACCTGACTACTCCCATTTTACTGTTTTATTGATTTTACTGAGACTATAGTTTTTCTGTCTAAAACATTGATCATGTTTTATATTCCATTTCTTCCTATCTCTGTAGGGAGCTCAGTCTCTCTAAATACCTTAATAATGTAATTGAAAAAAAAGGTGGTTTCAAGTAGTATCATAACTATGATAAATTTCTTAAATATTTTGTGCAAATTTAAAACATATTTATTCCCAAATCTTTTGATCTAAAACCAAGGCCTTTTGTTGACTATAAATGATTTGATTGGCATTTCTTACTGTCCTTGTATAAACTACACCTATAATGCATCATCTTTGATTTCCAGTTTCAGCTTCTCGAAAGTGGAACATGAGTATAAGAAACATATAAGTAGTATGAAATCAGAAGCCTTCTGAATTGTCACAGTTCCTTTCCCAATCTTTCATAAGGACAAGTTTTTTGTGGGAGTTGAATTTTTTTGTAACTCTCTTTTTTAAAGTATTTCTGAAACCTTTTACGTATCCCAGAAATAAGTTTTTAAATTTCGTATACATTTAATCAGTCAAATATTTAAATTACATGAAAATAAGCATAACAGGCATAAACAGGTTTTGGAACAACAGGCTTAACCGTTAGTTAGTATGTAACTCAACTGGTGGAAGAAGAAATGTGAAAATGTATTAGAAATAGCCTGGCAGCCTCAAGTTGTAAGCATCAACTAGTATGTGGACATGAGTTCTTGTGGAGAGTAAAGATGAGGAGGTCAGTATTTAGGTCTCTCCTATGTGAAAAATGTATCTATTCTGTGTCTCAACCTCTTTCAGCTACACTGCATTAGCTCTTCTTCTTTCCGTGGCCAAATCCACAGAGAATTGCCTAGATGCACACTGTCTCCAGTTCTTCACCTCTTCCTTATTCCTCCATCATAGTAGTCAGACCTATACCCCTGCTGCTCCCCTGACACTGCTTTAGCCAGAGTCGTGAATGGCATTCTGCTGCTGTATTCAACAAAGACTTTTCAGTTTTTCTCAACATCTGTATGTTTGGTGCTGTTTTCACTGCTTACTTGTCACAACTTCCTAGAACCCATCTTGGCCTAATGTTCCTTCTACCTCAGTGATCATATTTAGAGTTAGGGCCCCAATACTTTTCTCTTCTCTGCGACTCCCTTGGGTACTCCTATAAATACGATTACCACTTAATATTAATGAATTCCTCTTACATGTTCTGTAGCCACTTCAAACTTGGCATGTCCAAAATTGAGTTTCTCTTTTTTCCCCCAAAAAGCCTCCTTTCCCTTGACTCTCTTGACTCTCTCACCTCCACCACCTCCATCCATTCAGTACCAAGTCCTATTGAGTCCAACTCCTGAATATATTTTAAATCATTCCAATTCCCCCTATTTCCTAGTTTTGTATACTTTAATCATGAGCCCCAATTACAGCCCCAAGAACAACTTCTCTCTTGAATGATCTCTTTTACCAACCTTTCAACTCATTATAATTTGAGCGATTTCTCTAAAACACAAATCTGGTATCTCTCACCTGATTAAAACCCTTCTATGGCTCTCGAATTGCCTTCAGAATAAGATTAGATGTTTGGGGGAGTTTTTTGTTGTTGTCATTGTTGTTTTAATGTTGTTTTAATGTTTCGTGTAGACAATGTTTCACTATTTTGCCCAGGCTGGTCTTGAACCCTGGACCTTAAGCAATCTGCCTGCCTCAGCCTCTCAAAATGTTGGAATTATAGGCATGAGCCACGATGCCTGGCCAAGGTTAGAGGTTCTGATGATTCCCAAGGCTCTTCATTTGCTAAATGTCTCTACTTACCTTTTCAGCCTTCTTTCCCCTTATGGCATTACCTTTGATAATTCCTACACATTGTTCAAATGTTGGTTTGCTAGTTGCTCTTTCTAGAAAATCTTTCTTGACACATTCGCCCTGCCCCAAGACCAGAATGGAGTTCCCTTCTTTTGGAGTTCTCTCTGCTTACCCTTGTCATAACACTCATCTCAGTGTAGTATAATTGCATGTAGTATAATTGCATGTTAGAATGTCAGGGTCTAAGACAATTTGCCATTTATCCCCATCGTCTGTCATGAACTGGATACAGTACATGCTCATAAGTATTAGCTGGATGAATGACTTTAAACAAGTCACTTAGTCTCTCTGAGGCTTCAGTTGCTTCATTAGAAGAGAATACAATAATGCCCTACCTACCTTATAAGGTTGTTTTGGGGTCCTGTAAGATAATAAAAATGAAGCTTAGCATAGTGGTTAAGAATATGGGTTCTGGATCCATACTGCCTGGCTTTTAATCCTACCTGTGACCCTACAACTAGCTGCATGGCTTTAGGGAAGCTACTTAACTTCTCTGTGTTTTAGTTTTCTCTTCAGTAAAACAAGACTAACCACAGTATATAACTTAGAGGGTTGTTGGATGACTGAGTGAGTTACTGCATGGGAAGTATTTTGAACCGTGCCTGAACAGACAATAAATGTTAGCTACTAAATATAACATTTTTATTTATAAGCCCTAAAATTATATATACTTACATTTATGTATATATGTGCATGTGTATAGAGATAGAGAAACATGGCATCAGTATTACTAGTTTGAATGTCTTAAGGGAGTAAAGACTGATATCATTATTCTTAACAATTTCTTTTTTCTTTTTTTCTTTTAGGATAATGCCATAGCTATCCCAGAGTTTATTTTTCAAGTCTTAAATTCAAATTGTCATTCTTAATTTACATGAAATTTTGGTTAAAAAAATTGATGTTCAGTATAGGAAGAGACATTTTTAATGTTTCCTTGCTAAACTTGCAAGGTTTTTTTGAGTCTATGTACATAGTAGGTGGAAGTTAGCACTGGAAAAATATTAAAATAAAAAAGATACTGGCCAGGTGCAGTGGCTCACACCTGTAATCCCAGTACTTTGTGAGGCCGGGGCAGGAGGATTGCTTGAGCTCAGGAGTTCAAAACCAGCCTGGGCAATACGGGGAGACCTCATCTCTACAAATAATTTTTAAAAATTAGCTGGGTATGGTGGTGTGTCCCTGTAGTTTCAGCTATTTGGGAGGTTGGGATTGGAGGAACACTTGAGCCGATGAAGTCAAGGCTGCAGTGAACTATGATCACGTCACTGCCCTCCATCGTGGACAACAGAATGAGACCCTGTCTTAAAAAAAAGAGATGGAAGATTACTGATTTAATTTATGAAGGAAAATTATTATAGCTTCAACACCTGACTTTATTTTTCTATATGATTTAATTACACAAACAATTCAGTGTTTGAATTATACAAATTTCATTAAAACTATGTAATTATGCAAGAAAAATAGAAAATACAAGTTACTTAGTTTTGTGCATATGTGTTCACCTGAAAATATTTGCTTTTTTTTTTAAAAAAAAAGTTATTTTTAATTTAAAATTTAATTTTATAATGCACATTCATATGTTGACTTTGAACCAACCGAAATCCCTAATTCTTATTCTTTTTCTGATTCTTTTTAGAGTTGGTGGTTCCAGGAATTTACTCAGAATGACATTAGGAAGAGAAGTGATGTCTTCTCTTCAGGCAATGTCTTCCTATACTGTGGCTGGCAGAAATGTTTTAAGATGGGATCTTTCACCAGAGCAAATTAAAACAAGAACTGAGGAGCTCATTGTGCAGACCAAACAGGTGTATGATGCTGTTGGAATGCTCGGTATTGAGGAAGTAACTTACGAGAACTGTCTGCAGGCACTGGCAGATATAGAAGTAAAGTATATAGGTAGGTCAGATGCAGAAGCTTATCAGTGTTCCACTTTGTGGACATCTTAAATCATTTCATGCTTTCTCTCTTTCAGTTTTTCAGTTTTACAAGCATTGATTTTTACATAATTGCTTAAAAGTTAATTATGTAAGATTTTAAAATTGTTTATGTTGGCAAAGGTGCTATAAAATGTACACTGATTACACTGCTTTCTGGAAAGCATTTTGGCAACGTGTCAGAACTTTTAAGATATTCATACCCTTTCCCATTAATTCCATACCTAGACATTTATTCTAGGAAAATAATCATATATATGGAAAATTCATGTATCAATTTATGTATAAGTAGGTATTCTTGTCATATCATAGGCTTAGAAACAATTCCCAAGTGTCATCCAATAGATTAGATAAATAAATTATAAAACATCCATCCTCTGGAATGCTGTATAATCATTAAAATCATGGTTTACAGGCAGTGTTTAATGACACGGGGAAAAGGACACAGAAGAACTGGAAGAAAATAAACAAATTTTATCAACGGTTTTGTTAGGATTCTCCAGAGAAATTGAACCTATAGGGTGTGTGTGTGTGCGCGTGTGTGTGTAAGTATATATATGTAAATATGTGTATGTGTGGGAAGAGAGAGATCGATTGATAGATTGATTATAGGGAATTGGCTTACATGATTAAGGCGTCTGGAAAGTCCAGAATCTCAGTGTGGGCTGGTAGGCTTGAGACCCAAGAGAGCTGATGTTCCAGCTCCAGTCCAAAGGCCAGTAGCCTAGAGGCCCAGAAGAGCCAGTAGTGCCGAAGTCTGGGGACTGCAGGAGGATTCTCCCTTGTTCAGGGAGTCTTTTAGGCCCTAAACTGATTGGATATTGGCCACCACATTATAGAGGGCAGTCTACTTTACTCAGGCTCATCACTCTAATGTTAATCTCATCAAAAACACCCTCCAAGTTAACACATAAGATTAATCATCAGAATGTTTAATGTATCAGGTGATGGGTTTATAGCTAATTTTTACTTTCCTCTTTATGTATTTCTCTATTTTCTGCCCTGACATACATTATTTTTGTAACATATTAGACCCTTCACGTTATAAGGAATGAAGATTCCCTTTGGTTACCTCTAAGGGTTGGACATATTTTGTAGAATGATTATGACAGACAATCTTGGCTGTATATCCAGGTTTCATAAGAGAATATAAGATAGCTGCAGAACTGGTGATCGTAAACATTTGTGTGCATTTTGTAATTTGAAAGATTGTCAGAATCCAGCATAACCCTAGTGACGTGGTCATCTCCTTCCCCACTATCCCTTCATTCTCTATGTTTCACTGTAAAAAGGACTTGGCTGTTTTCTCTTATCTCAGCATTTGTTTCAGTTTCTGCTCCTACCAGCAACTGCTTCACCTTCATTAATGGCTTCTCAATCTTATTACACGTCTTGAATTTAAACTCCTGAATAAAAGGCTCTGATTGTCTTCATTAGTCACAGTCAAAGGGATAGAGTTAGTCCCTATTCAGCAGAGCTTTTCCAGCTGGCGACTTCATGTGCGTGTACCATCATGGATGTGGTTTGTCCTTGGTTCAGGTGCTCACTTCTTCAGTCACTTGTGGCCAAGATGGTATAGCAACCCATAACTTAGGCATTTGAGACAAAGTCTCACTCTGTCACCCAGGCTGGAGTGCTATGGCACAATCCTAGCTCACTGCAGCCTCGAACTCTTGGGCTCAAGAGATCCTCCTGCCTCAGCTTCCTGAGTAGCTGACACTGCAGGCCTGTTCCACCATGCCCAGCTAATTTTTTTTTTTTTTTTTTTTTTGAGACGGAGTCTCGCTCTGTCGCCCAGACTGGAGTGCAGTGGCGCGATCTCGGCTCACTGCAAGCTCCGCCTCCCGGGTTCACGCCATTCTCCTGCCTCAGCCTCCGGAGTAGCTGGGACTACAGGCGCCCGCCACCACGCCCGGCTAATTTCTTTTTGTATTTTTAGTAGAGACGGGGTTTCACCGTGTTAGCCAGGATGGTCTCGATCTCCTGACCTCGTGATCCGCCCGCCTCGGCCTCCCAAAGTGCTGGGATTACAGGCTTGAGCCACCGCGCCCGGCCGCTAATTTTTACATTTTGTGTGGAGATGGGGTTTCACTATGTTGTCCAGGCTTGTCTCATGTATGTTGCCCACTCCTTGTCTCCGGTGATCCTTCTGCCTTGGCTCCCAAAGCCCTGGGCTTACAGATGTGAGCCACTATGACTGGCTCAAACAAAATCTTTTAAAAATAATTACTTTAAATTGTTTTTCTCTCAATAATAGATCTTTTCAGCATACTTTCAAGTTTGTGATATTTGTTCTTGCTCCTCTATAAATTTATTTTTATGGGTTAATTATTGAAAATTGTGAGTTTGGGAATAGATTTTTTAAAAACTAACTTTCTCTTATCTGGGCATATTCTCTGAGTCCTTTATGCCTCTCACAGTAGCTGTTGAAACCTTGTTTGTCTAGTGTCAGGCACTGGGCATCAGCATTGTCTATAGTTTGGCAGTGAGAGCATAAATCTGGTTCCAGGTCTTTGTGGCAAAGTAAGGAAGGAAATGGCTTTCAGCATCTTTGTTTAAGAATATGTTTCTAATTGTAGGCTCCTGCATTTGATGTTGCTTATATAAGTTTTTGAGCAATTTTTATTCCTTCTTAATACATTTTATAGCTAATTTATTTTATTTTATTTTATTTATTTTATTTATTTATTTTTTGAGACGGAGTTTCACTCCTGTTGCCCAGGCTGGAGTGCAGTCGCACAATCTTGGCTCACTGCAACCTCCACCTCCCAGGTTCAATCAATTCTCCTGCCTCAGCCTCCCTAGTAGCTGGGATTACAGGCATGCACCACCACGCTCTGCTCATTTTGTACTTTTAGTAGAGACAGGGTTTCACCATGTTGGCCAGGCTGGTCTCAAACTCCTGACTCCAGGTGATCCACCTACCTCAGCCTCCCAAAGTGCTGGGATTATAGGCATGAGCCACCATTTTATAACTAATTTTTAAAAGTAAACATATTGCAACCATGTAGTTAACCATTATCACTTAAATAAGTGCTGTATTAAATTTCAAAATTTTCTATTCCATTCTTTCCTTAACCAACAGACATAAAATTATATATTAAATCCTAAAAGTATAATTTCATAATTTGATATTTCAAAAATATACCTTATGGATTTATTCTGGTATTTGTGGCAAGTGTTTCTAATAGCTTTATTTGTAACAATGTTTTAAGAGGACTGATATGAGTGAGGCAGTTTGTTTAACTGTATAATTTCTTGCTGTATAAAGGATAGCTCTACGGTCTCCTAGAGATCATATGGAAATTTTACTGTTTATAATACCTTCACAATACTGAAGTTAATCAAATAAAAATTCACTTATTTTCACAGCATAGCACAACCATCACTATAAACCCATACTTATTTTTGTTGTATAGTATTGGTTATTTCACTGACATCAGAGATTTTTACCCAATTAAAGTCAAAATAGAAATTGATGAAAAACCCAAGAACCAACTTTAATATGTGAAGATCAAACCAAACGAAATTATCATTGTTATTTAACAGGAATGTCTCCAATGTCTAGATACTTACTGGATGTGTCCACTTAGATTTCTGGGAATCCTTTGAAATTATCTGGAATTTTGAATGTTTTTATGTATGTGTGCATTTGGGGTAGGGTCCATTGCTTTGATTAGATTTTCTATGGAGTCTTTATCTTTTTATGTACCCTTTCCCCATCCCAGATCCTAAGATGCCTCAGTATAGGAACTGTGTCTTTCTCTTCCTACATTCCCAGTTGATAAATTATACCCTCAGGCCAGATGCAGTGGTTCACGCCTATAATCCTAATACTTTAGGAGGCTGAGGTGGGAGGATCACTTTAGCCCAGGAGTTGGAGACCAGCCTGGGAAATATGGCAAAACCCCATCTCTACAAAAAATACAAAAATTAACTGAATGTCTGTGGTCCCAGACACTCAGTGGTGTTGGGGAAGGAGGGTGCTGAGGCAGGACGGTTGCTTGAGCCTGGCAAGTTAAGGCTGTAGTGAGTTGTGATTGCACCACTGCACTCCAGCCTGGGCGACAAAGCCTGGGCGACAAAGCAAGACCCTGTCTCAAAAAAAAAAAAAAAAATTATACCCCAGTGTACTTCGATAAGTGCTCAGCTCACATCCTTACCGTTCATAATGATGCCAACTGGAACAGCCAAGTCCTGCACTAGATGCTTTTTCTTGGTAGCCTTAGGAGCCTTTATAGAAAGTATAAAATAAAATTTAAAAAAAACTTTTATTGGCATGAGAATTCACTGGGTATGAGGTATTTGGCTTAATACTGATTTGGCAAGTCCTGTTGTGTGGTAATATTTTGGTCTCCATCCGCAGTGGAAAGGACCATGCTAGACTTTCCCCAGCATGTATCCTCTGACAAAGAAGTACGAGCAGCAAGTACAGAAGCAGACAAAAGACTTTCTCGTTTTGATATTGAGATGAGCATGAGAGGAGATATATTTGAGAGAATTGTTCGTTTGCAGGTAAGTGGTATTATAAATCCCTTTAAAGAGGGGAAAACTACAACAAAAAAGAACCTTCAATCATCAATAAAACATACTGATTGGATTTTCTTAGATTTTGTTTCCAATGATTATAATACCATAATGGGCATTATATAGTATTACATAATGTTAATTGTATCGTTGAGATTATGTTGAGCTGCTAATTCCATTCAATTAAAGACCAAATGTAGAAGAGGGAACATCTGTAAAGTTAAGGCTTTTTAACGACATTACAAACTTAATGGTTGCATGTAAGGGTTATCTTAGACCAAATCAATTAGAAGCAAATGGAATCAAGTTGTTTATCTTAAATCTCTTGTGGTTTGGGAACCATAATATTGATGACATACTGTTGATGCTGTATGCCAGTCATTCCTGTCTGTCATCCTTACATTTTTGAAGACTTGCGGAAATTATGGATAAATGTTCTAGGTGGGTCTGCCCAAGTGTATTTGATCTTTTCACCAGTGTTGATTTGCCTCCTAGCAGTTTCATCGTGCCTTGCTTTCAGTGTTTATTTTCATGACACTTCAGCAGTTTGTTTGGAAAAAAAAGAGTTTTAAAATTCCAGGCATTTTTTGTGTGTGTGTTTAATTTTGCATGTTTCTTTCTGCAGAATCCCAATTCTTTTTTTCCTTTTTAGCAGACCATGACAAGAGTTGAAATATTTTAAATTAAATGGCATTTTAATTTGTAACTCATTATACAATGTGTAATCAAGATTTAGACATGTAAGGTGTATATCCTGTTTATTTTCTCATGTCAAACGTGCATTTTTCATCCTGTAATTGATAATCATATAATTCATAATAACTGATGAAAGTAACTTATGAAAATAACTTTATGATTATTCTTAATTAGCTAAATTGTTCTTCTTGCTCCTTTTGACCGCAGTTATTCTATGTGATTTGAATCATGGCCTTTTTAGTATCCCCATTTTATTTCATCCCCAAATTACTTTTCTTTCTTGTTCTGTATTTTTTGATGTAATTTGGATTTTTTCCTAGAATTTCTAGTTTCCTTTGATTCATCCTATTTTCATCATGATTTCTAAGTTCTCATTTGAAATAATGTTTTTTATTCCACATTCTGTGATCTTATGAATGTTACCAAGGTATGAAAGGTTTGTCACTTTAGATTCTTTGTCATAGAGTACTTTTAAATTTCATATATTTGAGACCAGCCTGGCCAACATGGTGAAACTCTGTCTCTACTAAAAACACGAAAATCAGCCGGGCGTGGTGGCAAGCACCTGTATTCCCAGCTACTCGGGAGGCTGAGGCAGTACAATTACTTGAACCCAGGAGGCAGAGGTTGCAGTGAGCCGAGACCATGCCATTGGGCTGCAGCCTGGGCAACAAGAGCAAAACTTCATCTAAAAAAAATACAAATTAATTAATTAATTAAAAATAGAAAAATTAGCTGGGAATGGTGGTGAGTGCCTGTAGTCCCAGCTACTCGGGAGGCTGAGGTGGGAGGATTGCTTATGCCCAGGAGGTTGAGACTGCACTGAGCAGTGGTTGTGCCACTGTACTCCAGCCTGAGTCACAGAGTGAGACCATGTCTCAGAAAGAAAAAAAAAATCCACACATAAAGGCCTCATTAAGCTGGATAAAGAGGATCTTAAATTTATGTGATGTCAGCAATTTCAGGCCTGCTCTACTAAAATTAGGATGCTCTGAATAATATTCCCAAGATACCAATAATGTATATAATAATCAAATATATTATCCCAATTGGATATAAAATGTTATTTTAGTTCTATTTTCCACTTAAAATTAATACATAGCAAAGTGAAATTACTTTTCATAATTCTTCATGCAATAAGGGCTCCAGTTACCTATTGATGCATAACATATTACCTCAAAATTTAGTGACCTGAAATAGCAACAATCATTTTCTTTTCTCTCACACTTTCTGTGGATCAAGAATTCAGAAACGAATTAGTTGGACAGTTCTGACTTGGGGTCTGACGTGTGGTTTCAGGCAGTGGTGACTAGGGTCGAAGCAGGTAGGAACTAATCAGGCATCTGTCGTTATTCATGTAGTCTCAGGGGTATCTGTATTTGTCCATTTTCACACGGCTATAAAGAGTACCTGAGACTGGGTAATTTATAAAGAAAGAGGCTTAATTGACTCACAGTTCCACTTGGCTGGGAGGCCTTAGGAACTTATAGTAATGGCAGAAGGCGAAGGGGAAGCAAGGCATGTCTTACATGGTATCTGGAGAGAGAGCGCAGGGGAAGCACCAGGCACTTACCAAGCAATCAGATTTCTTAAGGACTCACTCACCATCACGAGAACAGCATAGGGGAAACCACCCCATGATCCATTCACTTCCCACCAGCTCCCTCCCTTGACATGTGGGAATTACAATTTGGATTACAATTTGAGATGAGATTTGGGTGGGGACACAGCCAAACTATCATTGCGCCCCCGTCCCCTCCCAAATCTCATGTTCTTTTCACATTTCAAAACCAATCATGCCTCCCCAACAGTCCCCGATAGTCTTAATTCATTCCAGCATGAACTCATGAAGGGGTGGCCTGCCCCTCCACACCTGTGGGTGTTTCTCGTTAGGTGGAACGAGACACTTGAGAAAAGAAATGAGACACAGAGACAAAGTATAGAGAAAGAAAAAGTGGGCCCAGGGGACCGGCGCTCAGCATACAGAGGACCCACGCTGGCACCGGTCTCTGAGTTCCCTTAGTATTTATCGATAATTACCTTTACCATCTTAGAAAAAAGGGAAGTAGCAGGATAATAGGATCATCATAGGGAGAAGGTCAGCAGTAAGACATATGAATAAAGATCTCTGTGACATGAATAAGTTTAAGGAAAGTGCTATGCCTTGATATGCATATGCAAACACCTTCATAAACCTTTTTAGTGCATAAAGAGCAGCATTGCGCTAGCAAGTCCCACCTTTCGCCCTAAGGCGGTTTTCTCCTTTCTCAGTAAACAGAATATACAATCGGTTTTACCCTGAGATGTTCCATTGCCCAGGGACGGGCAGGAGACAGATGCTTTTCTCTATCTCAAACGCCAACAACCGCCAAGAGGCCGCCTTTCCTCTTGTACTAGTCCTCCTCAGCACAGACCCTCCACGGGTGTCAGGCTGGGGGACGATCAGGTCTTTCCCTTTCCACGAGGCCATATTTCAGACTATCACATGGGGAGAAACCTTGGACAATACCTAGCTTTCCTAGGCAGAGGTCCCTGCGACCTTTGGCAGTGTATGTGTCCCTGGGTACTTGAGATTAAGAGAATATTGATGACTTTTAACCAGCAAGCTGCCTTCAGGCACTTGTTTAACAAAGCACACCCTGCACAGCCCAAAATCCTTTAAACCTTGAGTCACCACAGCACATGTCTCTTGCAAGGACAAGGTTGGGGGTAGGGTCACAGATTAATGGCATCTCAAATATAGAACAAAATGGAGTCTCTTATGTCTACTTCTTTCTATATAGACACAGTAACAGTCTGATCTTTCTTTCTTTTCCGCACAACTCAAAAGTCTAAGTCCAAAGTTTCCTCTGAGACAAGGCAAGTCCCTTCTGCCTATGAGTCTGTAAAATCAAAGACAAGTTAGTTACTTCTAAGATGCAATGCAGGTACAGGCATTGGGTAAATGTTCACATTCCAAATGGGAGAAATTGGCCAAAACGAAGGGGCCACAGGCCCTATGCAAGTGTAAAATCTGGCCAGGCAGTCATAAATCTTAAAACTCCAAAATCTCCTATGACTCCATTTCTCACATACAGGGCACGCTGATCCAAGAAGTGGGCTCCCATGGCCTTGGGTGGCTCTGCCTCTTGGTTCTCAGGTTACAACCCCTGCGGCTGCTTTCACAGGCTGGTGTTGAGTGCCTGCAGCTTTTCCAGGTGCAGGGTGCAAGCTGTCATGGATCTACCATTCTGGAGTCTGGGGGGCAGTAGCCCTCTTCTCACAGCTCCACTAGGCAGTGCCCTAGTGGAGCTCCACCAGGCAGGAGAGAGAGTGAGCTCAGGGGAAGCATCAGACACTTATAAAACAACTAGGTCTTGTGAGAACTCACTATCATGACAGCATGGGGGAAACTGATCACATAATCCAATCACCTCCTACCATGTCCCTCCCTCAATACATGGGGATTAAAATTCAGATTACAATTCAAGATGAGATTTGGTTGGGCCACAGACAAATGATATCAGTGTCTTAGTTAGATTGGGCTACCATAACAAAATACCATAGACTGAATCCTTTAAATGACAGAAATTAACTTTTCACAGTTGTAGAGGCTGCAAGTCCAAGATCAGTGTGCCAGCATGGTTGGGCTCTGGTGATAGCCCTCTTCCTGGCTTGCGGATGGCTGCTTCCCTTCCCTGCTGGCCGTTCCTCAGTGTGTGCACATGGTACAGGTTGGGAGGTGGGGGACAGGAAGGTCGAGGGGAGAGAGAGACAGGGAGAACTCTTCTTCTCTTCCTGAAAGGCCACAATCCTGTCAGATTAAGAACTGCCCTTCTGACCTCATTTAACCTTAATTACCTGCCAAAAGCCTATTTACAAATACAGCCACACTGGGGATAGGGCTTCTACAAAAGAACTTGAAAGGACACAGTTCAGTCCATAGCACAGAGCATCTCCATGTGGTCCATTTGTGTGGGTTAATTTGGGTTTCCTTCCAGTGTGGTGGTGTCAGGATGGTAGGACTTCTTTCATGAGACTTTGCTCTGACACGAGTGTTCCAGCAAGCCACATAGAAGCTACTTTGCACTTATGACCTGTCACAGAAGTCACATGACATCACTTCTGCCATACCATATTGGTTGACAAGTCACTGCATTCTGCCCAGATTCAAGGGACACCACATCTCAGTCTGGGGAGTATCATTTAATTAGCAGTCATGTTTCAAAACCTTCAAAATAGGGGAGGAGGTGGGGATGGTTAATGAGAACCAAAAGAAAAAAAAAATAGAATGAATAAGACCTGCTACTTGA